CTCGCCACCATGACACCAGAGTCGCCCAACGAAGGAGGAGCGGCCGCTTGCGATCGCTAAGACGCGTGGCCGCATCCTCCACTACGTCGAAGGCGACGCTTATGGTGGTGCTTCCGGCTTTCGGGCCATGGCACCCAAGGCCGAGCGTGCGTCCACTAGTAGAAAACATGGCTTTGGTTCGGGCTTGGCCAGCCCATTAGTCCCGATTCTTCACGAACCGGGACCCATGGGGGGCATTAGTCCCGGTTCATGAGGCCAGGGGGCCGACCAGGGCCTCGTGGGCATTGGTCCCGGTTCGTCTGGATCCATTTGTCCCGGTTCTAGGCACGAACCGGGACCAATGGGCCACGCTTCTGGCCCACAACCATTGGTACCGGTTCGTGCCTTGAACCGGTATAGAAGGGGGAATTTAGTCCCGGTTCCTGCCACGAACCGGGACAAATAATTTGCCTGTATATGGTATATACCCATGCATCCTCTACCGCGGTGCGTACGAGGATTTGAACGCATGCTCGGTAATAGGATTCGTTTTGGCTAGAGCATCCAAATCCGCTATATATTTGACACGGGTTTGTCGTAATGCTGGAACTATGGCGAATGCATCTATCGTCATTGGGCCGCATGGGTCGGCCCTTTCACCTCATTCTTTTCCGTTTCCACGCTCTGAAACCGGGTTCTTTCAATTCAATCTCTCTCATAATCAAGCTGAGATATGATGTTGTTTCATCCTAGAATTATGAGAAATCCCTTGTTGGCTGGGACAGACCCTTAGTATAAGATAAGTCAACACAACATGTTGTGTCAGTTTCTCAAAAGACATGGGCTCACCTTTCGGGGTGACTAGCTGCATTCATTGGTTTGCTTTCATCCACCAACTTCACAACCATCCTTCGTTGATGACAGGCAAGCTCAACCACAGTTTCCGTAGTTTGGTTCAATTCATTCGGCATTTCCATTTCCAATTGGTAAGGTCTATTTTCTCCGACCCAAGGAAGAAGATCACAAGCGGGAGTCCCCTCTAGGAAGAGATGCTTTCCAAAGGATGTACGCTACTGTTGAATGGCCAAATAGGGATTGAAACAGAGTAAATAACTATAGTATCCCGTCGTAGTCGTAGCTGCATTTACGCGACCGGGTCCGAGCCATGGGACAAGACCAAATTGGATTGGATTTGTCACATCCGCGGATGGAAGACCATAGATTTCTCACTTTCCCTACTCGGAGAGCACATGTATGTAGTCCGCCTGTATCTACTTATTTATTCGGAGACCGCAAACAGGCTTTCTGCAATTGCTACCGAAACGGAGCAACTGCAAAATGAGATGCGGTGCATTGCGGTATAAGATCAGACGAGATGACCCTGGTGATGTTGACGGCGAGCCCCGCAGGAAGAGGGTTCCTGCGAAGGTGATGTGGTATGCTCCTATAATAACACGGTTGAAACGACTGTTCAGAAACAAAGAGCATGCCAAGTTGATGTGATGGAACAGTGAGGACCGTAAGAAAGACGGGAAGTTGAGAGCACACGCTGATGGGTCGCAGTGGAGAAAAATCGAGAGAGAGAGTACTAGGCTGAGTTTGCACGTGACCCAAGGAACGTATGGTTTTGTTTAAGCGCGGATGGCATTAATCCTTTCGGGGAGCAGAGCAGCAATCACAACACCTGGCCCGTGACTCTATGTATGTATAACCTTCCTCCTTGGATGTGTATGAAGCGGAAGTTCATTATGATGCCAGTCCTCATCCAAGGCCCTAAGCAACCCGGCAACGACATTGATGTGTACCTAAGGCCATTAGATGAAGAACTTTTACAGCTGTGGAATGGAAACGGTGTACGTGCGTGGGATGAGCACAGACAGGAGGAATTTAACCTGCACGTGTTGCTATTTGTAACCATCAACGATTGGCCCGCTCTCAGTAGCCTTTCAGGACAGACAAACAAGGGATACCACGTATGCACGCATTGTTTAGCTGACACCGAAAGTATATACCTGGACAAATGCAAGAAGAATGTGTACCTGGGCCATCGTCGATTTCTTCCGACCAACCATCAATGTCGAAAGAAAGGCAAGCATTTCAAAGGCGAGGCAGATCACCGGAAGAAGCCTACCATACGTACCGGTGATCACGTACTTGCTATGGTCAATGATTTACACGTAATATTTGGAAAGGGTCCCGGCGGACTAGCTGTTCCGAGTGACGCTGAGGGACACGCACCCATGTGGAAGAAGAAATCTATATTTTGGGACCTACCCTACTGGAAAGACCTAGAGGTCCGCTCTTCGATCGACGTGATGCACGTGACAAAGAACCTTTGCGTGAACCTGCTAGGCTTCTTGGGCGTGTATGAGAAGACAAAAGATACAACTGAGGCACGGGAGGACCTGCAACATTTGCACGAAAAAGACGGCATGCCTCCAAAGCAGAATGAAGGTCCTGCCAGCTACGCTCTTACGAAAGAAGAGAAGGAAATCTTCTTTGAATGCCTGCTTAGTATGAAGGTCCCGACTGGCTTCTCGTCGAATATAAAGGGAATAATAAATATGCCAGAGAAAAAGTTCCAGAACCTAAAGTCTCATGACTGCCACGTGATTATGACGCAACTGCTTCCAGTTGCATTGAGGGGGCTTCTATCGAAAAACGTCTGATTAGCCATTGTGAATCTATGTGCATTCCTCAATGCAATCTCTCAGAAGGTGATCGATCCAGAAATCATACCAAGGCTAAGGAGTGATGTGGTGCAATGTCTTGTCAGTTTTGAGCTGGTGTTCCCACCATCCTTCTTCAATATCATGACGCACGTCCTAGTTCATTTGGCCCAGCGGTGAGCTGCAGTGCCGCTAGCTCGTCCGCGACGGCTACGATGCCATCTGTGTTGTCCCTTGGTCTCTTCCCCCCGGCAGCAACCTTCTTGACGGTGTGGTCTTCCTCCTCCCCCTCCCTTAATTTCTAGGTTTTTGAAGTCGGTTCAGTAGTTAATTCACGGCCCATGAGTTTGTGTAGAACGACAGGCGGCGGCAGAAAGAGCCATTCCATGACGAATCTCTGGTATGATGACTCATTCCTCTGTTTCCCGGTTCTGGATTCAAGTTCCCAAATGGATACTGTTTTTTCTTGATTGTGACTTTTGGAATTTTCGATTTGATAGATGAGAGGGCCAGCAAAATGTGATCAATCAATGGAGACGAAGTATTTGTCCAATTGTTTGCAAGGGTGGTGAGAATCTATTGGCCGACGTTTGTTTAGTGTCATAATCTTAGAGTTTTTTCTGATTCTCTAGAATGTTGAAACAGTCTGGCTGTTTCAGTTTACGTCTTGCATGGTCAGTGCAGATGAAGTTTTTTTGGATTAATGTTTCTGCCCTAACGAGTTCCTTCCATTTTTATGTCTCAGGCTGTACGATCTCCGCAGATTGGCGCTTCTTTGTTCTGTCAGTGGAGATTCAATGTATCACTGCAAATTCCTTACTGCGTTAGTGTATCATAGCAAGTTCCTTACACTAGCAAATTCTGTGTTTTTTGTATTTTTGTTGATGCAAGCATGTTCTTCAACTATAAAAGGAGCAGAGATTTCTTTTCTTGTCAAGTCTAATCCTTTTTTGATGCATTGCAGATTGCTATCAAACTCTCAAAAAGGAAAATCAGCTTTATTCTAATTTGGCAAAGCTTGGAGGATATTTTTACACGTTCAACGCTTGCTTTATTTCTTTCTTACCTTTCGTTCTTCATGACAATATTTTCCTAGCAGTGCTCGATAACTTTAAATCCATATTTTTGTTCTTTGCATTATCATGAAACGGTGTTGTTCTATCTTTTTGTTTTTTGATTGATCATCAGCAACGACAATGCAACCTACATGTCCTACTTTTAGTACTGAGCTTACCATCAGAACCACAGCCCGATGAGAACATTCTAAACTAACTGAAGATGGCTTGCTTCCCTTTTATTGTACATGCTTGGGAATACTAATTATAGCTGACAGAAAATGTGCTTTTTGAGCATGAAGATAAGAGGATGGGAAGGGATGATCTTCATGAGCCTCAGTGGTACTATCATATTATCATAACTGCTGCAAAGTTCATATAATGATCCCTGTTTCAGACTCAGATCAAAGGAACAAGGTGATCAATACGTTTCAGCCATGGTTAGCCTCTCTTGCAATTTTCTGATGTTAGGTTTTAGCCATAATTTTTGTGATTAGGTTGATCACCTGCATCTATATATCTTTCTACTATCAACAATATTTTCTCAAAATTGTCATAAGCATGTTCCTTGAATATGTAGGAATACTGCGTCAAGAAAAACGATCGAGTTGAGCATACCGTGATGTTGTGACAGGAGATTCCGTTAGCTTTCAAACAAAGTAATCCAGTAGATAGGTCAACATATTTTGAAGGAACAACAAGCCTTCAATGAACTCAGCCGGTAATAGAAGGTTTGTTTCTGCCTAAATCTTAAATTTTCAATATGTAAGAATCTGTTTTTACAATGACATGAAACTTGTAAGTCACATCGTTTAATCCATACTCATGCATCAACATGTTCCATAGAAAACTTATACAGAACTGAATAAAAGAAGCTGCTTTCATTTTAAGAATTTGTTGAATCCTAAAAAATGTGAAATCTATCTAAGGAAGTGCTTACCACATCGACACACAACGTGTGCTTAGTCACAATTTTACATACATCATTGCTCAGTCCCCACCATATAAACTGATACCATTTCATTTCATTCCCTGCACTCTATCTTCCTATTTGATCCTACAATTTGACTCATTCAGTGTACTATTACCTTTTCTTTTCACTGTGAGATCCATGCCTCATTACCTGTATGTGCCATTCTGTGAAGGGAGTCCAGTACTAGCTAATTCCACTTAGTACAAGATGTATGCCTGATTATCTGTGTGCGCAATTTGTCAAGAACACACTGGTAAAGTTTTATCACTGCTGCTTGCCCGATTACTCTCCTATCAGACTGCATAATTGAATTACCTCAATATTATGTTCTATTCTATTCAATCTCATATATACCGTTTTCATTACAAACAAATATCTTTCTTATTTCTCACAGTAACAGTTCTCTCAACACATGCTCCACAGCACGACGACGACGACGAGCATCCGGAGAAATCATCTGCGGTAAGAGCATCTCCAACAGCCGCGCTAAGCGCCGCGCGCAAAAAACCTGTTTGCCGCGTGTGCTTCGGCTGGTTTAGCGCGGCCGCGAGCGCTGGCTCCAGCAGCGCGCAAAAATGCAGCGCGCGCGACTCCTCGGGCGCGCGCGAAAATGAGTTTGAAACAATTATCAAAATACAATGAACATGTGAAATTTGTCACAAACATTTTCCAACCAAGTTCATGCCCACAAGTTCATGCCCACAAGTTCATCCAACCAAGTTCAAAATGCAAACTAAAAGTTCATGCCCACAAGACATAAATGAAAGACACATCAAACATCTTCCTCGTCTTCGTCCTCATCTTCCGAAGACGATTCTTCCGCCTCTGAAGATGAATCTTCCTCCCTGTCCTCATCACGCATCGCATCACGTGAAGCTCCGACGGTGTTGGCAAGATCTTCAACGGCATCTTCATGGGAATGTGTGTGAGGAGGCACATCGAAAGACATTCCACCCATAGCCGGAGGTGCACCCATGCCTCCCATAAGAGTAGCAAAACTCATGCCTCCCATGGCGGCCATAGCGTCAGAGGGTGCTCCCTGCGCTACGGTTTCCGGCGACGGCGGCGGATGCGGCTGCGGTGGCGGCGACGGCGGGTGGGTCGCGGTGTACAGCGGGGTGAGCGGGGTGCCAGTGTGCGCGTCCATGGGTGGCAGGGCGCCGGCGACGGCGCGCGCGGGGCGTAGGAGGAGGAGAGGAGAGAGTGCGGCACGAGCGGTCGAGTGTGCCGCGCGCTGTAGCAGGCGCCCGAAATACACCGCGCGGGATGGCGTTTCCGACAGCGCGCCCAACTCATTATAGCACGCGCGTCGTTTTTGCGCGCCCGCTGGAGCGACCCGCCGCGTTGCACGCGCGCTAAAACCGACTAATTTGCGGCGCGACGCTCGTTTAGCGCGGCTGTTGGAGATGCTCTAAGTACGTGCGCCGTTCAAAAATGTTTAGTACGACTGGAAAGAAAACAACAACCTGCGGCTGCAGAGATCATAGTGTACAAAATGGTGGCGAAGGTTACATATAGGGACTGCTATTACTTTTTAACTTTCGCTTCGGTAGACCCCCTCCAACACAAGGACGGCTAAGATTTCCTCATACCCCTTCATAACGGAGGACATGATGGGCATAATTTGTAAAGAGTCGCCCGCCCATTGTCCCGCCCGAAACGTGTACGTATACGAATACGGTTTGTTTTTTCGTCCCGCCCCGTCGCGCACGCAGAGTCCACCCGTCGCCCCGTCGCGCGTGCGCCCACCCCACCCCACGTCCCCATAAATTATGGCGTAACTGCGCGCCTGCCGCCCCCGCCGTCGTGTCCTGTTGCCTGGCCGCAATTAGGGCCCGCAATTAACGCCGACCCTAATTGCTCGCCTGCTGGCCCCGCCGTGTCGCCTGCCCGCCGTAAGCACCGGCGCGGATGCGCACGCGCGGTCAAAGCGGCTGCCTCAATCGAGTCGCGTCGCCTGGCCGCCATTAACCACCGGCGCGGCTACGCAGGCCTGCCGCCCCCGCCGTCGCCCCATTACGACGAGGCATAAATGGCCGTCCAGCGATCTCAACCGCCCCCGCCGCCCCACACCTCCCGTCGGTGCTATAAAAACCGCGCGCCGGTCGCATACCTCGCCGCACACCCCCGAACCCACTCCCCATCCCCTCGACATTTCCCTCTCGGCACCGATCCCCGAACCCGCTCCCCCATCCGTTCCCCCGCCGCACTCGCCATGTCCGGCGCCGGCAGCTCCCGCGGATGGTGGCCGTCGAACATCCGGGCTCGTGGCACATCAGCGCCGCCAGCTACGCCGTCCTTGGCCCCGCCGCACCCCATGACGATGTTGTCAACCAGCCCGGCGGGAGGTGGAACCGACTCGGTCGCTGGCGATTCTGGCGGGGCCGGTACTGGGACGACGTCCTCCGGGACTGCCGCGCCGGGCGACTGGTCATCCCTCCCCCATCGGCGAGGGGCGCCCCTGCCCCACCTCCCCCTCCCGCGCCGGTGGCCCCTCCCGCGCCTGCCCCGGCCGTGGAGATTCCGTTGGAGGTGCAGGCGCTACGTCGGGAAGGGGACCCCGACGACTCTCCGGGTTTCCTCGTCGCCATCGTCGCGTCGATGGAGCCCGGCCTCGTGCCGCCGCCGGAGCTGAGAGACCCGGAGGACACGCCGGGCTTGATGGAGACCCTCCGCGAGTCTGCTGCGGCGGCTGAGGAGGAGGACGACGACCTCGCGTTTCTGGATGACATGAGCACCGACAGCAGCAACGGCGGCGGCGAAGGTGGCAGCGGCATTGGCGCGGTCATCGATGTCCCATCGGATGACGACGACGTAGTTTAGGGTTTATTGTATGTTCTTTTATTATGTCAAGAAACTATGTATGATATAATTAAGTTTGAATGAAGTTTGTCCGTTTGACTATTATGAGTTGTTCAAATATTTGGATAAAAAAATAAAGAAATTCTAGGTTTAAGAACGCTTTCGCCTGATAAAAAAATCATAAAATGTTACTGAAAAAAGTAATAATCAAATTTGCAAAAGAATACACAAGCAATAATCAAGTAAAAAATGATAACATAAACAATTTTGTAAAAATAGTTAGAAAAAAAGCAAACAAGTTTTTCAGAGAACATTCAAAAGTTGTTTCGCTGTAAATTAAATCATAGAATATTATGAAAAATGTTAACAAATTCCAAAAAAGTTAACTGAATTTTTGAAACCTTTTTTGAATTTACTAAAGTTGACGTAATCTTAGAAAAGAACTGTAGAACAAAATTGATTTTCATTGAAAAAATGGCGCATCAAAAAGTACAAAAGAGGAAAGAATGAAATAGCAATATAGAAGAAATTGGTGAACCCAGAATGGAGGGCACAAGGCGCTTGTTAGAGATAATACGGAGTAACGCGCAGTGTTTTAGGCTTATTTGGCCGGGAAAACCATAGGAAAAGCATCGGATGCCAAAAAGTACCGAAAATTGTTGTGCATGCTCCTGATGGTAGTTTTTTTTTCATGCGCGCGGTATACGTATGCCCGGAAGAGCTGTACATTTTGAGGTGGGTATACGTTTCTTCCGTATGCCCATTCTGCCCTTCTACG